ATCTCAGTTGAGAAATTGATTCCATCAGATTGGCCCATGGGATGTCTGTGCTAATTGATGTATTAGGACCCCGTCCACTATGAGCAGTACCACTGCAGCGCAGGTGGCTCTAGGCTGTGTAAAAAGGAGGCTGAGTGAGCCAGTGAGCAGCTCTCCTCCACGGCCTCTGCTGAGTTCCTGCCTCTAGTTTGACTTTTCTGGCTGATGGGCTACAAGCTGTGGGCTCCAGTAAACCCTATTCTCCCCAAGTTGCTTTTACTAAGTGCTATATAACAGCAACAGAAAGAAAATGAGGACAGCCCGACAACTGGTTTTATATGGTGCTGGGGACTGAGCACAGGACTTGGAGCATTCTAAACAAGTGCTCTGCCAATCAAACCACATCTTCAGAGCCTGACTGTCTTTACTGTCCCTCTTGGGACATCGCTACAGTGTTAGATCTGAGAGGTCCACTATTTTACTTATTCTGTTCATGGATCCCCAGCCTTGTTAGAAGGGCATTTAATAACTATGTGTTGACTCTGTTGAACACAGGTGCCATGCACTTCAGAATCTGTAGGATTCTGGAAGCTTATTTGTGATACTATGGTCCCCTGCTTTCAGTACAGTCAAAAGCAGTCAGTTCTTGAAGAGGAGCTCTGCTGGGGCTTTCAGGTTCTGATGGGATAAGCCTCACACTGTGGTTTTGATGCAGATGAGCGTAAAGATCATGTGTAGAAGCTCAGTCCCTACTGTACCAGCACCACAGGTGATGGGACCCTTAAGAGTCCCAGCACTCGGGAGGCGGAGGCAGGCAGATCTCTGTGAGTTTGAGGCCAGAGTGGTCTACAGAGTGAGTTCCAGGGGTGTTACCCAGAGAAACCCTGTCTTGAAAAACAAAAGAGTAGGCGTTTAGTGCAGAGTGATCAGGAAGTGGGGGCTCTGTCTTTGGAGGGCTCAGTGATTGTGTGTGTGTGTGTGTGTGTGTGTGTGTGTGTGTGTGTGTGTGTACATGTAGACCTGCACAGATCAGAAGAAGGTGCCAGATCCCCTGGTCTGTCACCACAGGCAGTTATGGTCTGGCTAATGCCAGTGCTGAGAACCAAACTGAAAAAGTAGCCTGTGTTCTTAACCACCGAGCTGTCTCTTTAGTCCAATGACCATTTGTTTTTGAATACTTACATTTAATTTCAAACAGTTTGGCCCATCAGGACCCTCTGATAATTATGGTGCAAATCTGGACTTTGTCTCAAGAAAAAATGAGGAAAACTGTTGCCAACCAAGCAGGTTCATTTCCAGGTACATTACACAAGTGAACTGAAATGCATGCCCACACAAAAAGCGTGTATGTGGTTATCACAGCAACCCTTGTACCAGGCCCCAAGAAGTGAGAGGGCTGTACCTCTGAGCCAGCTCTGGCCCTGGTTAGCGTTTATGTGCCAACCATCTTTACTTTGCAGGATGACCCCACTTGGCTGTGCCGTTGCTCTAATGAAGTTGCTAGGTTTAGTTTGCGTTCCGGTGTCACACAGAGCATTGGCCTTTGACTGTGATTGCCAGTGCCGTGGTCTGGTTTTCGTCAGGCCAGCTCTGGCTTTATAGATGTGTGGACAGGCGCTGGCCTCATTCTAGGCAAGCACTCTATCACCCAGTGCCGGGTGAGTCCTCCCTCGTCCTTTTCAGAAGCGTTTGTGGTAGACTGACTTTTAATTATCCCTTGAGCATCTGGTAGAATTATTAGTCCATCTGACCCTGGACTCTGTGTCAGGTTTTAAATACCGAGTCAGTCTCTTTGTTTGTCATCATGCGTTCTGGATTTCTTGCTTTTTCCTTAGTCCCAATCCCCCATCTTCCTCTAGTGCTTCTCTTTTCTTTTGGTTTGCCCAATTGTACTATGTCCTGATTTCTGGAAGAAGGGTACCAATGCTTGTCCCATTTCTAATTTAAAGGGCATTTTCCATTTTTCCTAGCCCCCTCCCCCCGGTATTTATCAACTTTGCTAATATTTTCCAATAGTGGTCTTCCTCCTCTGTGGCTTTTCTCTGCTGTTTTCAGGCCCCAGCCTTCAAATCTTCACATTTCCTTCCCTCTGCTTGCTTTGGTTTTCCTTCCTTCCTTCCTTCCTTCCTTCCTTCCTTCCTTCCTTCCTTCCTTCCTTTTTTTATTTTTCAAGACAGGGTCTCTCTGTAGCTTTGGAGCCTGTCCCGGAACTAGTGGTTCTGTCATTGTTAACTGCGGGTATGGAAGTCTCCAGCCATGGTCCCTGTCCATCCGGTTGTGTGAGGTGCCTCAGTGTGTCAGGCTCTGCTCCTGGTGCCGTGGCTTTTTTCATGTTTGCGTCTCCTGTAAGTACTATGTCTGGATTTATTGGTATGATTTCTGACCTATACAACTTTTCTTTGTTTCTGAAAATGTTCCTCAAGAGCTTTTGCAAGAAAGTCTGCTGGTGATGAATTATCTGAATTTTCATGGGGCCTAGGAAGCCTTCTTTTCTCCCTTACTTTTATGCTGGATATAGAGTTTATCTTTTTTTTTCTTTTAACATTTTTTTAGTTGAAAAATTTTTTTCACATAATATGATTTTTTTTTCTTTTTTGTTTTTTGAGACAGGGTTTCTCTGTAGCTTTGGAGCCTGTCCTGAAACTTGTAGATCAGGCTGGCCTTGAACTCATAGAGATCTGCCTACTTCTGCCTCCCAAGTGCTGGGATTAAAGGTGTGCGCCACCACTGCCCGGCTAACACATAATATGTTTTCATAGAACTCTTCTTGATTGCCTAGATTCTGAAGGCAAGTATATATGGGCTATCCCTTCATTTTAATTTTGTTTTTTTTAAAGATTGATTTTATTTTAAAGCCTGTGTTAGTCTGTGTGTAGTATATGCACATTATGGATGCCTGATATACATGGAGACCAGAAGAGGGCATCAGATCCCTTGGAACTGGCGTTAGAGGAGGTTGTGATGTATCTGATGTGGGTGCTCGAACCCAAACTCTCGTCTTCCTTATGTGTTCTTAACAGTTGAATCATCTCTCTCTCTCCTACCCTGGACCATACTAAAGCATTTGTTGAAAACTTGGCATTTGAAATAATGCATGGGTAGAATCATGGCAGCCATGTTCTCACCCCTTTCTCTGTTCTCTTGTTTGTGTTTTTTACAGCTTGCTGGATTTTTCTAAACTCACTTTTAAGGTTGGCCTCTGTTCTGCATAGACCCCAAGTGGCTAGTCGATTAACTTCGTAGTCAGTGTCTAACTGGACATTTTCTCAGTTATTGGGAACAGCAAGTTTTCCACGTGTTCTGGGTGCTGCATGTGCTGGGACGTTCGTTCCTTCTCGCCCAGCCGGGCATGTGTGGCTCTGCCCAGCCCTCTCCCCCTGGCTCTGCAGACCATCAAGGGCATCCTGAGGGGAGAGTTTGGGGCCTTCCCAAGAATGCACCTGGCTGTCGATGTGCACACAGCGCTTGTTACTTGGGTAGCCTGCTAGATTTCCAGGAAAACACAGGAACTTTCCAGAGCCTCAGCTTTCTCTTTAAGGTTTAGTTAACAAATTTTTGCCCCATTGCCTACTCATTCAGGAGGCTGTGATTTTTAATTCTTTTAAATTACATTTATTTGTATGTGTGTGGGCATGTGTCATGGTATACATGTGAATATCAGAGGACAACTTGTAGGAGTGCACTCTCTCTGTCTGTGTGTGTGTGTGCTCGCGCGTGTGCAAATGTATACACATGGGCGTGTCTGCGTTCATGCACATGTGTGCACACAGAGTGCAAGTGCATGCATAGAGGTCAGAAGACAAATTTGTTGCAATCAGTTTTCTCTTTCCACCACATGGGGCCTGGGGATCAAATCAGGTTTCAGACTTGCAGCAAGTGCCTTCACCCCCTGAGCCCTCTTGCCAGCCCTGACATCTGGCCCTTTTCATGACTACATGATGCCAGATTGCTGTGAGGTTCACTTCCACAGTGCCCACCATCCTTGGAGGCTCTCGGGTGCTATGTGGAGATGCTCAGAGTCCTCGTGCCTGTTTTTGCTGCTGTCTTTGATAACAGTGCTGTTCCTCTTGAGCACCCAGAGACTCGGAATCTTCTTTCTGTTTTGTTCTCTGAGACACGCTCACTCTCTGCTGCTTGCCTCTACCTCCCCAGCGCTGGGGTCACAGGCATCTACCACCACATCCAGCAATAATCAGAACCTTTCCCCTCTTACTACTGGCCCCAGAAATTAGCCAGCAGTGCTAACACCACTCTGATTTAAAGAATTTCTCTGAGAATGTCATACATGTATGCAATGTATTTGGGTCATATTCACACTTCCAGCTCTTCTTTTATCTGAGTCCAGTTAGTACTTCTAGTATATGTGTATGGGTGTAGGGCTACCTGTAGGAACATGGGCAGCCTACCAGCACACTCCTGAAGATGGCTGACTATCCCTCCCCCAGCAGCCACCAGCCCCCACCATCCCCCAGTAAGTAGTCCCTTTGCTAGGAGTGGGCCCTCATAAGTCCTTCCTCCATCTGTGCTGGGTGTTGACTGGCTTGGACTGATAAACCACTGAAAATATACACTGATATGTGTGTGTGTGTGTGTAAGCATGTATATACATATACTGAAAGCCCACAGGTGCCAAGCCAGACCACTATACCCAGCAGAACTGTCTGTCGTAATTGAAGGAGAAGGAAAAACCTCCTGATGAGAGCAGATTGAAGAAATGACCACCAAAGCAGCACTGCAAAGGGTGCTGAGGTGGGAACACTCCAGACTTGAGAAGAGAGGCATAGCTAGGAGGCAGCAGGAAGAAACAACCAGGTTAGGCCTGTGATTAAGCAGAGGAGGACCGAGAAAACAACACTTAAATGGTTTTTTTTTCTCTGCCCTTCCCAAGTTCTTTGGATCTGCTGAAAACAATCTAGGCATGACTTAGTGTTCCCCTTAAGGATGGTCAGACTGGAGCATCCCGGAAGTTGGCCATGTTTACATCATGAAGATGCTGGAATCTGTTCTGTTTCTTCTCGCAGGGATTTAATGCGCAAAATGGCGATCTTACCAGACTGGCATAGTCTGTACCCTACTACCTTGAAGATGTATTCCCGCCCCCACTCCTCACCCGTCAGAGTGCATTCGAGGACTGGCTGCCAAGATTTAGGTAGACCCTCTTCGTCAAGTGAGTACTCACAAGTGATTACAACCCTGTCTACAGATACCACTTACTGCTTGACATGGCTCAGTTAAAGGCCTGCTGTGAGTCATGTTCTGATACCTTCCCTATATCCAGTATGAGGAAATGCAGGCATGGGCCCCTCAAACCAGTGTCCTCAAAGTTATTCATAGTTTTAAAGTGAATGGTCAGGATTTGAATCCAGGCTGTGTGTTCCTGGACTCTGTCAGCTTAATGGTTGTGTTTATTCAGTAAATGACAGTTGTACAAATTTGAGCAGGCCTGTCTCCCAGCAGTCTTAGGTTTGCAGAAGAATTGAACAGTAACTCCTCCCCCAGCCATCTCGGTGTGTTCCATTACATAACCTTCTAATCTCATAGTTTTGAGATTTACATCTAGATCAAGTTCATGTTTTTATGAAGGGCTTAAGGTCTACATCTCAATTTTCTTCCCATCCTCTTCATCCCCCTGAAATAGCCTACAACTTACTATATAGTTAAAGGTGTCATATAGCCTGAGATAGCCTATAACTTACTGAATAGTCAGGGATGACCTTGAACTTATGATCCTCCTGCCACCACTTCCCAAGCCCTAGGATCATAGGCTTAAACCACCACACCAGATTGACGTGGTGTTGGGGATGGAACCCAGGGCCTCATGCATGTTAGGCAAGCTCATATCCCGCCCTGCACTCATTGTACATTGGCTGTCACTTGCTAAGACCATCCCTTCCTTGTTGCATTTTACCTGTTGGATAGCCACCGGGAAGCCCATCACATGCTGCAGAAGTTTGCTATTCTCCTGCCCCCTCTTCTGCTTGTGTCTGCATTTTGGAATTAAGAGAAAGCAGCTACAAGTACATATTTTCAGAGTGGTCTTTTGTGAAGATGGGAGTCGTTAAGCCATTTGGATTCTTCATTTGGTTTAAAAGCAACAGAATTTGACTTAATATTTTCCAAAATTATGTATCTTTAGGCCTCATTTCCTCCTTAATACATTTGTCACTTACAAACATTTTTTGAGCACTGTTGATAGGTGCTGAGGACAGAGTTGGGTCTGCTGAAAGGCCAGGCCTGCTGGAATGCAGCCAGAGAAGGCAATGAGGCAAACTGAACACTGACACTGAGGTGTGCACACAGCAGCGAGGGCTCAAGAAGGAACTCTAAGGATGCAGGATGGAGCTGGGGGAGGGAACCGTGCAGGACAAACGGGTGTGCCTATAAGCAGGGACAGGCACTGATCTCAGTGGACACATGCTTGTTGGTAGTTGGTGAGACTTTACTCAATGGTCCTGTGCGTCTACTAGTGAGCCTGGGGATACAGGCTTGACATCTGATGGCCACCTGTGTACCCTAACTTGGGGTTGTTAAGGTAGTTTCTGATGAAAAAAAAAATGACATAGTAAAATGTAGAGCTGTTCCAGCTCATAGCTTCATGTCTGCAGAGCAATGCAAGGGGCGGTCCTAGTATACTTGACAAGCCTGACAGAGCAAAGGAAACTAGTGTGAAGGGGGCTACCCTCTCCCAGAGTTCTAAAACACTGCAGAAAGACCCCCCCAGAAGCTGGTATACATGTTCTCCCCCCAAAGAATATCACAGGCGTTCATTGGTAAATTTCCCATCAGAATATCATCTTGTAAGATCTTGTGCACTAACAGAAGTAATTACATTTATGGTATTTATTTATTTATTTGGAGGCAGGGTTTCTCTATGTAGCCTTGGCTGTCCTGGAACTCACTTTGTAGACCAGGCTGACCTCAAACTCACAGAGATCAGCCTGCCTCTGCCTCCTCAGTACTGGGATTAAAGGCGTGCACCATCACTGCCCAGCTTATATTTATGTTTTAATTACATTTCTTTTTTTAAAGTGTGTATGTGTGCTCATAATGTCAGTGCCTGCGCACATACAGGCGGAACAACTTTGGATGTCGGTCCTTGCCTTCCACCTTATTTGAGGCAGGGTCCTTCTTCCCTGCTGCATAGGCCAGGCTAGCTTGGCTGCAAGTGTCTTAGGATTGTGTCTCTGTGTCTGTGTCTTAGTGTCATGGGCATGCTGGGGTTATAGGTATCTGCCCCTGCCTTCAGTGTCACATGGGTTTTGGGCGCCAAACTCTGGTCATGATGTTTGCGTGGCAAGCTTTGTCCACAGAGCCATTGGTCTCCTAAGCCCCTAATGACATTTGCTCAATAGTGATTTAAATTCCCGTTCTCAGGTTTACCAGCTGTGCATTTTTGCCCCGTGAGTTGTCTGTTCTTTCAGTTGCCCGTTTCCATACAGTGGTTTGATCTTTATTACTAGTAGGCATAAGTTTCCTTTGGATGGACCCGTGCTCCTCGATCTGCTTTTGCCTCAAGTGTGTTTCTTCTTTATCATTTGCTTTTCATGTTGGCCAGTTACATTAAAATATTTATGGAAGTGTTTTGTCTTTTTAAAAGTTATTTCTGGGGCTGGAGAGATGGATCAACTGTTAAGAGCACTTGGGTTTGGTTCCCAGCTCCCACATGACAGCTCACAACCGTGGTAACTACAGAGGATACAATGCCTTCTTCTGATCTCCACAGGCACCAGGCATCCATATGGTACACATATACACAGGCAAAATGCTCACACATAAAATATAATGAATGAATCTAAATTCTTTCTATAGCTATGTCTACAGGGGTGGGGAGACTGCTCAGTTGGTAAAGTGCCTCTGAGCAGGTGTGAGGGCCAGGAATTTGGTCCCCGCAACCTAGTGAAAAAGCCAGGCATCATGGTGTTTGCCTGGAATCTAAGCACAAGGGAGGCAGAAACAGATAGATCCCTGGAGACCAATGACCAGCCAGCCAGCCTTGTTCAGTTGCTGAACTCTAGGCCAAGTGTATGACCCTGCTTCAAAAACTAGAGTGGAAAGTGATAGAGAAGGATGCTTGAGTTGGCTTCTGGCCTCCACACACAGGTATATACATGTGCCAAAAGCACCCGAGTACGTGTGTAAAAGTACCTGCACAATTCGCTTATATACGCACGTGTGTCTGGCATCACCACGCTCCCCTCCCAGTGTACACCATCGCCTGCTCAGCACTGTTGCCCATGTTGTCTATGAATGCACGTGGATTGGGAGATGTAGCTCTGTAACTTGTACAAGCAGATAATACCAAATAAGTATAATTACCACAATGTACCCTTTTTCTTTAAAAAAAAAAAAGGTTTTATCTGGGGCTGGAGCAATGACGCAGCCATTAAGAGCACTTGCTGCTCTTGCGGAGGACTTGAATTCTAATTCCAGCACCACATCAAGTAGCTCATAATGGCTTGCAACTCCAGCTCCGGGGAATCTGGTGCCTTCTTTTGGCCTTTGAGGGCACTACACACAGGTGGCACACAAGCATTCACACACACACACACACACACACACACACACACACACACACACACACACACACACACCAGATGAAAATAGTAAGTTAAAAGTTGATCTTTTCTTTTGTCTTCACACTCACTGGTTCCTTCATTCCACGTAGTCTGCAGCTAAGCCAAGCTCATGAGCTGCCAGCTGGGTCTCCAGGGGCCATCTCCTGCATTGCAGCCCTCCTGGATTGAGGTCGTGGTGGCAGGGTAGGATGTCCAGCTCTACCAACAGCTTCTGTATGTGCTGGGACATCCTCTTACTCCTTTGCTGTCTTAGGGTTTCTATTGCTGTGAAAGACACCATGAACACGGCAACTCTTATAAAGGAAAACTGTTTAGTCATGGTAGCTCGCTCACAGTTCAGAGGTAAAGTCCATTCTCATCAGGGTGTGAAGCAAGGCAGCGTGCAGGCAGACATGGTGTGGAGACAGTGTGAGAATCCTACACCTACTTGCTGGCAGCAGGAAGTGATCTGAACACCGGGTGTGGTTTGAGCATAGATGAGACCTCAAAATCCACCTCCACAGTGACACACTTCCTCCAACAAGGCCACACCCACTCCAAAAAAGCTACCCCTCTACTAGTGCTATTCCTTATGGGGGGCATTTTCTTCCAAACCACCACAGTTGCCTTGCCTTGAACCTGCAGCAGGCCCCTGATAGTCCATGGCCAGAGACTCCTTGTGTTCCATATGGATTTACCTTGCTTCTGCCCCCCTGTAGCCTTGGGAGAATAGCTGCCTGAGCTGGGGGAGACCTAAAGTGCTAGGGTGCTATTGCATATTTCTCTGTCTCCTGCCCAGCTGCTCCTCACATGTAGTTGACCAAGACCCCAGGATTATTGTCTGTCTACTACTACATGTGGCTACTGAACATGGGGTTGTTTTCTTCTCAGGCTGTCTATGCTGTGTCTGTTCCTTCCTCTCTGCAGAGAGAAGGCACTGTGTTTCTGGGCTATTGAGGACCAGCTTGTCCTTGGTGATATCTGGTTTCTGTTGCATCTTCCAGTCTTGGCTTTGTCTGAAACTGTGCATCTTCTTAACTCCTCTTGCTTTCTGTCGTGGTAGGGCTGGAGGGGCTGTCTGCTGTCTGCTGTCTGCTGTCTGCTGTCTGCTGTCTGCTGTCTGTCACTCTCCAGTCCCTAAACCGGCGATGCTCGTCCAGCATCAGTTGGTTCTTCCTGCAGCAGTTGAGGAGGCTTGGGTCTGCCTTTCACTTCTGGTCTGAGGGGCCGCATCGGGCTTGTGACTGCAGTGCCGCATCGGGCTTGTGACTGGGGGGCTGCATCGGGCTTGTGACTGAGGTGCTGCATCGGGCTTGTGAAACCAAAAGCTGCTCTCAAGTGAATTCCACACAGTTCCCAGTTAATGCTGTCTGCTGCCTTTAAATCACAATTCCGAGTGCCAAGTTGGGGCTTCTTGGAAAGCAATTAAAAATACACGAAAAGTCTGAGAAGAGATCCCAGAGTGGAAGCGTGAATGCGAAGAGGGTCCCCTATGACACCCGGCGGGCCAAGGAATTGCTGCACACTCTAGCTGATTCCCACCACACAGCTCCTCTGTGGGAACCAGCTGCTGCCGAGAGTCTCAGCGGCTGGAAGAGGAGACGGGAGCGTGGAAAGACTCCTGCTTTCCTGCGAATCCGTAGGGGTCTGATGGCAAGTTCTGGAGCCTTCCTCTGCCTTCAGACTCTGTGTTTGTTCCCGTCTTCACTGGGTCTCCCCTGGTTCTATGTCCTGGAATGTCACATGTAAGCAAGCAATCTGTACCCCGTTCCACGCTGATTTCCCCACTAGGCTCCAGGGAACATATCCGCTGCTTGGCTGGCTTTCTGTTTGCACCTTGGTTGCAGACACCTTACACAGGCTCCACAAGGTCCCTTGCCCCAGTGGCACCATCGTTGGCCTAGATCCTCACATTGAGCATGAAGGCAGGGTCCTGATCTGCTTCTTCAGACTCTGCTTGTCCCCAGGCCACACAGTCTGCAGGAGAGTCAGCAGACCATGTCTTCATTTGTCAGTCCGTGGTCCACATCCAAGGTGGTACCAGGGTCGAGCCACACCCAGTTCCCAATGGGCTTGATGCATGGCATCTCTGAACCTCTTCTCTTGTTTCTTGTCCCTGGAGTCCATTCTCTGTAGTGGCCAGGATGAGGTATTGCTGTTGCTTCCCTCATCATCTCTGGGCCTTCTTCTTGCATTTTAAGAAAACCTTGGGTCGGATGGTAGTGGCACACACCTTTAATCCCAGCACTTGGGAGGCAGAGGCAGGTGGATCTCTGAGTTCGGGGCCAGCCTGGTCTACAGAGTGAGTTCCATGACAGTCAGGGTAGTTACACAGAGAAACCCTGTCTCAAAACCAAACCCAAGTAAAACAAAACCCTGATCCTTTGTCCAGGTGCTTGAAGCTGACCTGCAGATATCTTCCCCATCCCAACCCTGGCTCTTCCTACGTCCCTCACAGCCACCCTGGTCTCTGTTCCCTTAGACAGACTTAGGTTGCTCCTACATAGAGCTCTTACAGAGTTGCTCTGGTCCATGTTTGGAATGTAGTCACCTCTGCTAGCTAGCTGGCTGCCTCATTTCTGACATTCTGATCTTGGCTCCCAAGCTCCCTGGGGAGGGATCCTGGACTGCCCAGCTAGACTAGGCCATGGTGCCACCTTCCTACACTCTGCTGGTCTCTTGCCATCCTTGCTACACTCACTACTATCTGTCATCACCCTTTGACATACTGGCTGCCTTCCCCTTGTCTGTCTTGTCCCCTCCAGATGGTAGGCAGATCCTGTCGCCTACTGCAGTGTTCTTGGCACCAGGAACAAGGGCTGCCAGTGATAGGTGTCTGGTCAGTTGCTCTGGATTGGTAAATCCCATTTCCACAAAATTGGGGTTTCCCACATAACCCTCCTTACCTCCCCATCCCCCTATGCTTCCTATGATACAGGCTTCTGGTTCCCACATGCCTTGCCCTACCCCAAGCTCTCTGATTTGGTCTTCAAGAGGACATGCACATATTAGACACTCCACACTGGACTCAGGAATTCTCTCTGTAGCCTGTCTTTCACTGCCCCAGGTGTAGTTTGCAGGGGATGAAACCCCCAACACAGTATCTTTAAAGAATGACAGTTACATCTCACCCATGGTGCCACTGGTCACAGGCACAGGTGTGGCCGATGCTGTACACAAGCAGGTGCTGAAGAAAACTCCTTCCCATTCTTGATGGGAGGAGCCACAATGTGACTGTGGTGGTTAGTTTGTTAACCTGACACAGTCAGGAATCTCCTGGGTTGGGGGGCGTGGCTTCAGAGGCGCTGTCTGGATTGATTGGCCTGTGGACATGCGGTGAGGGATTTTCTTAATGGGATCACTGGAAGACCCACACTGAATGTGGGCAGCACCATTTCAAGGGTGAGGCCCTGAGCTGCCTGTAAAGGGGAGGGAGCCGAATACAGCATGGGCATCAATCTGTTGCTGCCTGCTCTTGACTGGATGGGTGCACCACCACTACCTGGTAGCTCTAGGTTTAACAAGAGGCCATGTCTCAAAAAATAAGGTGGAGCAGATAATGAAGACACCCGTGTTGGCTTCTGGCCTCCACATCTGCATGTTCTTTCATGAGCACTCACATGAACACGTGAGTATTCACACACACAGTAAAGCGTCACTGAAGACTGTTGAGGTGGTTCAGCAGGTAAAGGCACTTTGCTGTCAAGCTTGGTGACTTGCGTTTGGTAAATGGGACCCACATGGTGGAAAGAGAGAACCCACTCCCCCATGCTGTCCTCTGATCTCCACATGCATGCTATGGCATTCCTTCAGCCACATACATAAGAATACACGCACACACACACACACACGCAATAATTGTAAAAGTAAAGATTGATCTATAAGATACGTTTCTTCCACTCCTCAAGAATTCTTCTCATATCTCATGTCCTTGTAGGCAAGAGCACCTTTGCTTCTTTCCCTTATGGGTGTGATCCTGGGCTAACCAACTTCCAGAGGTGAAAACTCGGCTGTCCTTGCTGAGGCATTAGCTGAGCAGAGACATGAAAATGAGAGAGGAAGCTGAGCTCTGCAGTCTGTTGCATCCTGGTCTAAGCACGCTCACTAGATGTTTCTGTCTCACCCACAGCCACACCTGTTGCCAACCCAGTCCTTTCCTCCTCAGACGTTGAACGGATTCTGTCTCAAAAGCTCTCCAACAAAAGGGATGAAATGAAAAAGGTCTTCCAGGTTCTCGACTCGACCCACAGCCAGACGGTGACGAAGGGGGATCTGAAGCGCGCCATCACGGCCTTTCTCATGCCTCTCACAAGAGAGCAGTTCCAGGACTTGCTGGCGCAGGTAGGATGAGCGACACTCAGTATGGGCTGTTCTGGAGAAGCCAAGGGGCTGGCTGAGGAAAACGTGACGGCCTATATGAGCGACTGGGGCTGTGATCACTGTTCATCAGTCACTTGAGTTCCTGCCAGTTTGGATGATATGAGCAGCGTTCACTTGCTCATATTTTGCACACAAAAGTGTGCCTGTCATTTTCTTCCTTAAAAACTTCTATATAGAAGTATTAGGTCAATTTATGTATATGTAGAGATTTGTTTGTTTGCTAACTTATTTTTTTTTTTTTGAGATAAGATCTCACTTTGTAGCTCCTGGAACTCACAATGTGGCTCATGGAAGCCTTGAACTTATAGAGATCTACCTGCCCCTTCCTCTGCCTCCCAAGTGCTGGGATTAAAGGTGTGCACCCCTATGACCAGCTTAATTTTTTTTGGTATGTTTGTATGTGTGGGGGTATGTGCATATGGATGCAGTACATGCAGAGGTCTGAAGAGGGCACCAGATTCCTTGTGGCTTATAAGCCACCAGATGTGGGTACTGGAAGCAAAATTGGGGTTCTCTACAAGAGAATGTTATTAAGTTCTGAGCTGTTGCTCTAGTCTCTCAATTTGTATTTTAGAACATAATATCTCAGCACTTGTTCTCACATCAAAATTTATGATGCTTCCCAGAGAGTCTCTGGGTTAGTCATCTGGGCTCAACTCCTGGGTGGGGATGTTGTGAACATCTGGATGTGGTGCTGCTGCTGTGCAAACTTGAGGATCCCAGTTTGGGGCTCCAGACCCACTTTAAACTGGCACAGTAGTATGCATCTGTCACCAGTGCTGGGGATGAGGAGGGGATGGGGACAGGCAGATCTATAACCAGCAATGATAGAGGAGGAAAGCCACTGTTGCCTTCTGACCTCTGTGTGTGCACTCCTTTCCACACGTATATGCACACATACACACAATGAGTGCACAAATGTCCACACACAATAAATAGTGTAACTTAAAGAATTTAAGAAACAAGGGCAAGTTAAGGAGCATCTATGATATGCTGGAATCGGGTGGGGGGCAGGACACGCACTAAGGCCTGACTCCTTCCTACCCTTGAGGAGCTCCCGACTCAGGAGATACGGAGTTTAACAAGGACTGTGGCAAGGATCATTAAAGCATACAGACTCTCTTTTCTGAGGTTGGAACTCCAGGAAGACTGTCTGGGAGGGACATTTAACGTTTCTTCTGTTGAGTTTGGAGTAGATATTAGTGAAATGATAAAGGAAGGTCATAATGCACAGGCAGAGGGGACAGCCTGTTCTCACAGGCTGTAGGGAGGTGGAGAGGCTGTGTAACTGGTATAATGCCAGGGCCTGGGGAGGGATGTGAATGGTGAGGGTCCTTGGGCCAATCACTGGTCTATCCCAGCCAGGGGAGTGGAAAGAGTAAGGATTTCTGGTACAGCCCATAGGGAAAAGGACATAAATCTGGTAGGGATTCAACATTAGTAAGTCTGTGAGCATCCTAGCAACTACAAGAATGGAAAATTCAACTGGGACATCAGTAGCATTCTTTCCAGCATGAGAGTCAAACTTGTGCACACATGTGCACACATGCGTGTAATCACGCTTTGCCTCTTCATTCTTAATCATGGTCTGGCTTCATGCTATGGTAGTGCTTTTAGAGGCCTATTTTATGTTAGAATTTGACGTGTGCACCACCTCAGGCTAATTTGCATGTAACTGACCTGGGATAAAGTGTTATGAACACAGCTGTCCAGTGGATGGCAGATGTCACCCAGTTCTCGTGTTAACTCCAGGAGTTCATCACATTTCTTCCGTGTAGTGGAATACATGGTGACCCCAGAACTAGGGAAGTTAAAGCAGGTGGATTTCAAACTCCAGGCTAGTCTCGGCTACATAACAATTTGGAAGCCAACTTGGACAACCTAGTGAAGCCCTGGCCTCAAGACAACACCTGTATTCTGGATTTTTTTTTTCCTGTGCAAATCACATTGTTCTTTAGGCGTTCCCCTCTGTTCAGCTTTGTTTTTCTGGAGTTCTCAACCATGTTTAATCAAATATAATTTTAATCCCATCCTCTCCCTTTTGGGCATTTGGTATTGCTCTGTGGGGTCCCACGTTTCTCTGTTTTAGAAACATCATATTCTATGTACTTTTAAGATTAGATATCAGGTATCTATCTATCCCCAAACCTACTGGGTTTTTCATGTTCTTTCTGTGTTGTTATTGGTCCATCATCCCCTAAGCCTGCAACTTTAGACTTTTTTAAATTAACATCTGGAATTTCATTTGGTTCCCCTGTTTGCTTGTTTAGATGTCCCCCTTCTGTTTGTCTCTTTCTTCCTTAAACACCGCTGAGACTGCTGCTCTCAGGTCCTTGCCTGGTACACACAATACGCTGCTTATCCCTGCGTTGGCTCTCACAACGGTCTTTTCTTTTGAAAAGGTCTGCTTTCATGGCTGTTCATATTTGAGTTTGTTTGGGTAATGACACATACCAGATTGGTCCAGTGAAATAATGTGTGCGCCATATAGATAAATTTCCAGCAGTCACCTCAGAAGGTGAATAATAGAGTAAATGAATTGTTTCTTATTTGTGTGTGTGTGTGTGTGTGTGTGTGTGTGTGTGTGTATACACGACATGGCATACATGCGGAGGTCAGAGAACAGCTGTGGGAATCAGTTCTCTCCTACCAAATGGATCCCAGAAATTGAACTCAGGTTGTCAGTCTTGAAAGCAAGCCTGAAAGCAAGCCCCCCCTACCTCCCGAGACATCTGCTGGCCCAGGAATTAATTTTAATGATAGTTTTATTCAATCATGAATGTTCAAATACTATTGCATTTAATGCTGTCACTGTTGAAATGCCCAGTACTTTACCTTTTCATGTCTGAAGTCTTTAAACATGGTGAGCACACACACAGACAGCTTCTGCATCTTCATTGGAAATACTTGATCTGACTGTGAGCCCGTGAAACGTCTGCTTGAAACATAAGATTCACATCCCCAGCTTTTTAAAAACACACTTAGACATTTTTCAATAATAGAATCAGTATAATTTTGAAATTTATGTTAATTAACACTGAATAAAGTGAAAAACAGTTAATCTCCTGTATTGGCCACATCTCTAGAGCTTAGCAGCCACATATGTGGAGAGGCTTTTTCCTTTGGGCCACCAGCCAGCTCCCAAGTCATGACACGGAGACTTATTATTAGTTCTAAATGCTCAGCCTAGCTTGGACTCGTTTCTGGCTAGCTCTTTTAACTTAAATTAACCTGTTTCTCTTTGTCTACCTTTTGCCTTGGGTCTTTTTACCTTTCTTTCTTCTGAATATCTTACTTTCACTGCTTCTTCTGCCTGGCTGTCTGGTGGCTGCCTGGCTTCTTGCCCCGGGGTTTCCTTCTTTCCTTCCTCCTCCTACTTTATTCTCTTTGCCTGTCAGAGAGACTATCTCTTCTCTGCCCAGCTATTGGCCATTCAGCCCTTTATGAGACCAAGGGTGCCTTAGGCAGCAAGGTGAAACAAATGCAATGCATCTTTACATAATTAGACACACCTCCTAACATCATTAAACAAATGCCACATCACCAAATGTAACACACCTTTACACAGTTAAAGTAATATTCCACACATAAATGAATGTAACACATCTTTGCCTGGTGAAACGAATAGCCCACAACACACATGACTCCAGTCATGGGTGTGAATGCTGTGGAGCCTCTGGCTGTCCCTCTGAAGACACTTCATTTTCATAGACAGCTAACTATAAACTCCATCTTGCCTGCAGAGGTCAGAACTCACCTCTTAGTTTAGATCTTTTGTGTTTAGCTACGCTGCTTTGACTCTTGTACACATGTGGTTCCCTGAAGTTGGCTAGACACTCGGGCAGAGCTTATAGCACCAGAAGGTGGGTGTCTCTCCCACCCCCTTCTCATGGTTCTGTGGTTGTTCTTGCTTCTGCATATTAGTCCCCCTAGGCCAGATACAGAGTTCTCTTACTCTTTTAAAATATACTATTAATTATTTGAGAGTTTATATATAATATGTATAACGTATTTTGAGAATATCTATCCCAACTTCTCTCCTAACTCCTCCCAGACCCACCAACCCCCTCCCAACTTTATGTCCTCTTGTCTTCTTTGAATAGCCCACTAAGTCTGTTTTATGCTGTCCACATACTCCTGGTCATTCACTGAAGCATGGTTGACCTACTACTAAAAGCAATATCCTTAAGAAAAACTGTCTCTCCCTGTCCCAGCTGCCATAAACTGCTCCTAGCTCCTCAGCTGGGGGTGGGCTCATGAGGCCCATCCTCCTCTGTGCTACGATGTTGACTGGCTCGATATTGCACAGACATTGTACAGTCCATCACAGCCGCTGTGAGCTCTCAAGTGCAGTGGTCCTGGCCTGCTCCGAAGGCATTGTTCTGCTCTGGTCCTCCCAACCTCTGGCTCTTATGAACTTTCTATCTGTCACTGTTTCCATGGTGGTCTTTTTAATTTTTTTTATTAAATTTACATACCAACCACAGCTCCCCATCACTCACTCTCCCCAGCCCCCTATCCACTCTTCAGAAAGAGTAAGGCCTCCCATAGGGAATCAACAAAGTCTGACACATCAAGTTGAGGTAGTACCAAGCCTCTCCCCCCAGCATCAAGACTGAACAAGGCATCCACCATAAAGAATGGACTCCAAAAAGTCAGCTCATGCTTCAGAGACAGATCCTGGTCCCACACAGTGCCAAAAATCCAATGAAACCCCAGCCTTGTTCTGCTACGTGGACAGCATCATCTACCCACAAATTAGTGCAGTTCCAGAGCTCTCCAGAGAAGCTTCTCTGTGCAGTGGACGAGGCAGAAACTCACAATTGGTCAAGTGGAGAGAGGAAGGACATTGGAGTGTTCGTTCACAAAAGAAACACCTATACTACACACACATACATCATACATATGCACACACACAAGCTTATACATACACGTATTTGTACAATATAAACTTACACACA